ACCCCTCTTCCTAAGTGTGTCCTTCTGAGGTCCTCTCCCCTCTGAGAACCTGCAGTTGCCTTCTCCCTTTTGGCCACACTGAGCTCTTCCTTCTTGTAATGCAGTCAACCCTGGACGCTTGGCTTGGGTCAGGCTTCCCGGGTGACGGCTGCCTCTGGAGCCCGAACCTCTTGGGAAGTAGGGCGCTGTCCACACTCACCCCACAGAAGGTGTGTGAGGCCACGGGGTGGAGGTCAGCCTCCCACACCTGCTCCAGCGCACAGTCGTTTCCAGAGTCCACAGCTGGCAGACCATTTGCTGTCACAGCCGCAGCCCGGGTCCAGGACGGCGCCTCTTGCTAACCTTATTCCATTTAAGGGCGACGGTCAAAGCTCAAGCAAAGAAAAATGTTCCCAAGTATACGTTCCATGGAAATGGGAGAAGGCGGCTCCTGGCAGCCACCCAGGGTGGCACCAAATTTAGTCCAAAGGTTGACTATAAATACATTAAAATTTTTATTACAAAAATAACATGACAACGCTAAAATAGCTCACAAAAGAAAGAGAATGAAGGCACCCCCCGAAGACCCGTTACGCAGGCACAGCTGCCTTTATTCGGGTTAATCTGGAGCCTTTGTTCTTGTAGACCTATTTTTACACGTTAAAGCGTGGTGTACATAGAATTGTCCAGCCTCCCCTTTCTCCCTAAGAATATATGATAAACACCGAAGACAAATATAACATTGATGGGTATGTGGGTGTGGCGTGTCTGAGCTGTGTAGGCATGGCTCTTCCTTGAGTCTCAGTTCCCCCATCTGTAAAGTCCAGTAAGTTCATGGGATCATCATAAGGATGAACCTCAGCCCAGTGAGTAGCAAACCGTGAGTGCTTTACTGCAAGTCCCTTTTATTCCCGTTATCCAGATCTAAGAGGTTTTCAAGTTGACCTTCTCCCAGCCAACCATACCCTTATACAGGTTTTAATGCTGGTTTTCGAATGTATACCTTTAAATCAAATACTTAGAAGCATAAGACTGTCCAGGCTATGTCCCATTCCACTGAAATGACAACCCCAGGAAGGTTTAACTTAAGTTCCCACCCAGTCCTGAGTCCCCATGTTGTTTGGGAGCACCCGAGGGCCTTGGCTTGGCTACAGAGCTCAAGTAAATGAACATTTCTGAAGGGCTTCAGACATGCATCTTTCTCTCTGGGGAAACCCTTGTTATCAAGCCCACAAGGGCCTTGAATCAGGGTGATGGAAAATTAGCCAGGATAAGGGTATGGACAGGAGAACTTGAGCCTTGTTACCAAGCTATGACCTCCTCAGGGTTACAGGTAGAGTGATTTCAGAGTGACATTAGGATTCATGATAAAAAATGACCCCCTCCCCCCTATCTGCTACCATGGCTTGATGAGGTACCTGGAACTCTATCAGTCCCCCTTTAGTTTTCGGGGTCAGCAGTTCATCTGCGTTTCACTGTGATTCTGCTATCAGCCTGACCTGGTTCTGCACCAAGGCTCTGAACTGGTGCCCTGGTGAATGAGCCAGCTCTCAGGAGAAAGCTTGGCTTTGCCCACACCAGTCTTCCTCCACTGGGTCTGCAACCAGCCAGTCCAGACCAGGGGCTGCGGTCCTGGCTGCTGAGCTATGTTCCAGACATCCTGCCTGCCTGGTGTCATGGCTTCTACGGCCTGGCTTCCCTGTTGCGCCCTCATCCCCACTGCCCACTGTGTGCTGAGGTCTCATGCTTTGACTTCTCTGATGCCAAGGCTGCTCTGGAACATACAGCAGGTTCTTTCCCATCCCCTTTCTGCCAACAGGTCCTGGTATCCACCTGGACCTTATGGCTAGGTTTGCCCTGGAGCAACCCCCACCTCCCTTCCCACGCCCTCTCCAGGGAACAAGCCTCGCTTTGAAGACCCAAGGATGTAGACACTGGTGGAAATAATCATCTTAATTAAGTGGGGCCTTTTGTCCAACTTAATGTTGGTGTTTAGTTGATTTCATTGAAATCTTTTCTAAATGTTCCTTTCTTTGCTGCAATGAAAGGTTTCTGTCCTTAAGATTTTCCAGAAAAAGGTATGTTTGCTTTTCAACAACTGGGGCCAAATTTTGTTGTAGGTGTCACCTGAATTCTGTATCTCTCCAAAATGTCAGGCATTACTGAAATAAGGGACAACTGTATTTTAGAGTTTCCTAGAAGGAATTTGGATTTTCTTCCTGGCTCATCAGCAGCTGGCTTTTCAGTTGTCAGATGTGAATTTCCACACTACTTCCTCAGAAAGGACTTCTCACTCGTCCTGCCCCCACCCACCCCCGCAGCCCTGGTCTGCCCAAGTTTGCTTCTTTCATTGCATTTAACATGACATTCTGTAATTTCTTTGTCCACTCGCATCACAGGGCCTCCCTCATTAGAAGCTAGAAAAGGCACGGGCCACACCTGCTTTGTAAGGCCGTATTCCTTTTCCTTTTTAAAATTAAGTTATTTATTCACTTTCTATCCTGGTTGTGGCCCCTCCCTCCTCTCCTTGCAGTCCCACCCTCCCTCCCTTTCCCCCATACCCCCACTCCTATTTCTCAGAAAAAGGGGACCCCCCCCCAGTTCATCAAGTCACATCGGGATTGAGTGTGGACTCTTCCCCTGTGGAGTCCATGTTGGAGACGTAAAGCTGTACTTCTCAAGAATGGTACAAGGCCTGCTTAGTGCAACTGTGAGCCCACTTGGGAGGCAGAAGTAGGAGGATCAGGAATTTAAGATCGTTTTCGGCTTCAGAGAGTTTGAAGCTAGCCTGGGCTATGTGAAACCCCACTTCCAATGTAAAAACAAACACAAATTGTTAAATGCAAGTTTTTCTCCTTCCCAGTTAAGATAATGAAAAAAAATGTGTAGTGTCCACCAATGTCTGATGACTATCAAGACAGCACCCTCCGACCCTGTGCTTTCTACTGATCTATCCTTTTCAAGTTCTGTTTACTATCAAGGGGCCACTCTGAGGGCTGGCTGCAGGGCTGCCAGGACCTCCTGAAAGGGCCACTCATTTTGGCAGCTTCCCCCAGGCTCACTATTTTTCTCATTTGCATATCATGGAAACAATTCTTCAAAGAATCTCCGGAGTACCTAATGCCCTGGGTCATCTGTCTCTGGGCTGCCACATTTGCTGTTTACAAAACCAAACCAAACCTGAGACGTTTCCCACTATGACTCATAGCAGTGATGATAACATCGAATCACTGGCCAGTGGAACACGTCACCAGTGCTAGGAATTACTGCTTTTAGGATTGTTTTTTATTATTATTTACTTCTTCGTGTATGTGTATGTGAGCACATGTGTGTAGATGCCTGAGAAGACATTGTCGGTAACTGGAGCTGGAATTACAGATGGCTGTGAGCCACTCAGTGTGGCTGCTGGGGACCAAACTTGGCGCCGTCACTCTTTACTGCTGAGCCATCGCTCCAGCCCAGGTAGAAGTTCTTAACTGACCTTCGAGGAAGAAATGAAGGGAAGGGACCTGAAGAGGCCCCATCTCAGGATGTGTGTACTGTGTTAATAATCAGCCGGTGCTCTTGCTGCTGAAACAGTGCTCGGTGAAGATAAACTTAGAGCAGCCAACCGCAAGGTTGAGATTTTACGTAAATCACCTAGGTTTCTGCGGTCTGAGCGCCATCTGAATCATTCTATGCAGAGCCATGATTATAAAACCACGAGATGTAGTATAGATCCCTTTCCATGGGAACTACTTAGGCCCTGCAGGGCTGGAACCTTACCTTACTTGTGGGCAGGTGCCAGTGAGGTCTAAGTCCCAATACACACGTGATAAGGACATATCTTCGAGACCTCTGCAAGGAGCTCGTCCGCCATGACAAACAGGATCTGCGGGCAATGAAGATGATGGCGCAGGGGGCCAGAGAGAAAGCACCTGGCTGCTGAAGAACCTTCCTGTGCCTCAGTTTCCAGGACTCTACATTGGGGGCGCTAAAACACGTGGACAGGGCGCCACAGATGTCTACGTCATTCTTCAGGGGCCATTCGCCTTGCTTGCTAAGACATGGCCACTCACTGGCCAGGCTGGCTGGCTGCTGAGCCCTGGGGCTCCGCTTATCTCACCTTCCCCAGGCCTGGATTACAAGCACATGCCGCCATGGCCCCCCGCTTTTTTTTAAAATAAGGGATCTGTGGCTAGAGCTCAGGTCCTCAGGCTTACAAGGTAAGTGCTTTGCCTAAGTCGAGCTATCTACCTGGCCCAGACCTCTGAGTCCAGGTCAGGGGTCTCCCAGATACACTAATTTGCTTGTATCACTTACTGGAAACTGATGGTTCTTAGAATCAATAAAAATTAATATTCCAATTATATCAGCGTGAGTGTGTGTGAGCATTCAGGGTGTACACACATAAACACAGGCCAGAGGAGAACATGAGGTATCCTGCCCTGTCTGTCCTCTAAGCCTAGAGCTAGGCTGGTGTCTAGCAAGCCTCAGCAATCCTTGTTCCCACTCCCACGGTGCTAGGCTTATGAGCAGATCGCCATCGGTAGCGTTTTGTGCAAGTGTTGGGCTCTGAACTCACGTCCTCAGGCTTGCATATCAAGTGCTTTTATCCACTGAGCTCTCCTGGGCGCCCCCCGACCCATAGTTTCTTTTATGTGAGTTCATTTGTTCACTTCAGGTAGATCATGCCATGAGCTCCCAAAGAGGAAGTTCTAGAATCATCCTTAAAACTTTGGATGACCAGTCCATTAAAGATACTAACAATTGCCACTCATCGCAAACTCTTCCACCCTAAATAGTGTGACATTCTCCTCTTAAGCGGGTTTGCATTCACAGCCTAATGGGGTGGCTGTCAGCAGATCCTATTTACAGGTGAGAAATGAAACTTCAGATGTGCAGGGGCTCACAGCAGGCCAGATGTAAACCAGCAGCTGGGATTTTAAACCTTGGAGTCTTACTCCATGCTCTCCCTTCCCCTCAACCCTGCCTTCCTCTTAAGGACACAAACCAGAGTTAATATGTAGAGACAGATTTTATTTCAGATAAGTCACACATATTATTTTCTTTTTCTCTTCTGAAAACCTCATGACCAAAGGCTTGCCTCAGAGTTTGCTAATTCAAAAGCACTAACTTCAGAAGACAAACACACATACCAGAACAGAAAAACAGAATCTTAATGCCAGTGTCAGGTAATGCATGAAATGTTTTGAGGCTAGAACAGCCAGCCAATCTTTCCCAAATAATCTTCACCTCTTCCTTTCTAACCATCAGTAGCATCCACATACCATCAGAGGGACCCAAAGATGGCTCACGAAGGCAGAGATTGACCTCTGAACTTCACCCTCCTGTACTGATTTCTCATGCCTGTCCCTTAGGCTGATAAACATGTAAGCTTGGCCCTCCCGTCAGACAACTGAAAATGAGGCAGGGAGACCCAAGTTTCTCTACGAGTTTCCTACCATTCTTTAGGACTTTCCTTCACCATTCTATCAGCATTATCATGCTCGCGTGCACACACACACACACACACACACACACACAGATGGACGAGCATGCACACACACTTCGATTTTAATGTAGCAATGTGTTTATAAGTCTTGGTATCTAATTCTGAGCATTTTTCATCTACATAAAAAATGGAAGACAACTAATATGGGTCCATTCAGTAGAGACCCAGGCTAGACCCTGAGGAAGGCAGGGCTCTTCTACAGTCCCCCTTCGTAGTTCTCCTAAGGGTACCAAGGAAACACGGGAATCTTTGCACTAGATGAGGGCCTTGCCGAAAACAGCTGGAGATCCCTCCCTGCTTCCATGTCCCCTTGATGCCTCTGAGAGAGAGATCTGGGGCCTCAGCTCCCATCACTAACTCTGCATTCAAAGTTGGCAGACAGTGGAAGACATATATAGGATGGAAAATAGTTTTCTAGTGTTCTCCGCGCCCCCCACCCCTCAGTTTTCATCTTCACAGCAGAATTGTGGGGGACGGGGATTCCCCAGAAGAACCTGAGAAGCACAATGCTCTCTTTGTTTCATTAAATCCTGGGAAAATTCCACTGAACTTGGTGGCCGGTCCCATGGCCAGGATCCACGAGAGGAAGGTGGCTTCAGCCGTTCCTGTTAATAGATTTTAGAGGAACTCTGGGAGAACAGGCGAGGATGGTTTTTATCATAAAGGACTGCAGGGTGACAGGTGGTGGCGGTTCCAGCGGTGTGTGTGTGTGCAGTGACTCCCTAGAGGTCTTGGCACCCTTTGAGCCGGGTGTCTAGCCTGGCAGAAAGACGGCAACATCATCAACGCGAGATGTTTGCCAAAGGCACATACCAAGGCACTTGTAAAGCTGATGGCTGGTGGAGGTCCAAGGATACCCTGGGAGGAGGGGCTGGGAGGAGGGAGATGTAGCCAATGGCAGCCCACAGTTACCTCACCAGTGCTCCAGGGTATAACCCATGGAAACAAACAAAAGATACAAGAACGAGACAATGCAAATTATTTGATGAATTCTCTCAACCTTGGTCGCTTCCTTTAAAAAAAAAAAAAAGGATAGGCATAGTACCAAAGAAGCCAAGACTTGGGGTCAGGGTGGGAGTCTCTCTGGGGTGTGTTGCTGGTGTTAAATCCTCGTGTCTGTCCTCCCAGGCCATGGTTCCCGTCCCTGCCCACACTCTATTCAGCAAATACTGGTATAGGATGAGGAGGGACGGGACCCGAGGAGTAGTCCTGTCATTAAGAACGCTCTTGGAACTGTAATTTTGAGGACTGATGAGCAAAGCCATCCAGAGCCGGGACAGAAGGATCACAGCGGTCACCAAGGACTGCTTCGCCCCTGCCTCAGCCTCCTGAGAGCCCTGGTGGATCACACGGACAGGTCATCTGACCTCGCTTTGCTGCTGGCCTTGCTAAGGCGGCGCTTGTCGCTGTGGTAGCAGCCCTGAGGAAGGCGGTGGCCGGGGGAGGCTCCGTTGGGCTCCTCGGGCTTCTGGCCGTACTGCATGTGGATGAAGCCCTCCCCAGGAACCTGCGGCTGGCCTGGCCCTTCCTCGGTGGCCAGAGGGTCTGGGTTCTTGCAGGGGCCCACATTGCCGAAGTCACGGAAGAACTTCTCGCCGGGGCTGTTCTTCAGGCACTGGTTGAAGTCGGGGGGAGGAGTGAGGCCCTGGACGAGGCTGGCGGAGGGGCCAAGGAGCTGGCGCTTGTCCACACCCTGCCGCGACTTGAAGCGCTGTCGGAGCTTCTTCCAGCCCAGGTGGTAGAGCTCGGCCAGGCTGAGAAAGAGAGACAGCCCCGCCACGGCCATCATGAAGACGATGAAGACGTTCTTCTCCGTGGGCCTCGAGACGTAACAGTTGACCGGGTGGGGACAGGGACTCCTGCGGCAGACGTGCAGGGTGTCCAGGAAGATCCCGTAGAGGAGGTACTGGCCCACGATGAAGGCCACCTCCATGGTGGTGCGGATGAGAATGGCGCAGACGTAGGTGTTGAGCAGAGTGCCCTGGAGGACGATCTTCCCGTTCCCTTCAGGCCAGCAGGACAGCTCGGCCTTCTCGGCCGCCGCGTACTCGTAGGCCCCAGGCCCTCGGACCTCTTTGGCTCTCTCAGCGTCCCGCAGCCTCTGCTTTTCCTGCATGCGCACCGTGTGCACGGCGTGGCCCATGTACACTAGAGACGGCGTGGACACGAAGATGATCTGCAGCACCCAGTAGCGGATATGGGAGATGGGGAAGGCTTGGTCGTAGCAGACGTTCTGGCAACCAGGCTGAATGGTGTCGCACCGGAAATCAGCCTGCTCATCTCCCCAGGAGGACTCTGCGGCGGTGCCCAGGACCAGCATGCGGAAGATGAAGAGGACGGTGAGCCAGACCTTGCCGATGACAGTGGAGTGCTTGTGGACCTCCTCCAGGAACTCCCCCAGGAAGCTCCAGTCGCCCATCTTGCCGAGCTTGGGAGACCGATGCTGAGCCTTCTGCAAACAGAGCAGAGAGGAAAGGATGTCTGTGAGGGACGTCTCAAGAGGTTTAGGAGGTCCCATCATGCTCTGGGCCATTGATCCATAACAATGTGTGCTTTAAGAAAGCGTAACTTTTGCACACCTGTAACCTGGCCGCTTGGGAAGCGGATGCAGGAGAATCAGGAGTTCAGGCTCCCCGTGGTGTCCTAGGGAGTTGTCTGGAGGCTAGCCTGGCCACACATGACCCTAGCTCACAAACAAATATGGACGGTTTAAGATAAATCTTATAGCCGGGTGTGGTGGCGCACGCCTTTAATCCCAGAACTCAGGAAGGCATTGGCAGCCTCCAGGACAGCCAAAGCTACACAGAGAAACCCTGTCTTGAAAAAAGACTGATGATGATGATGATGATGATGATGATGATTTTTATAAATAAATAAATAAATTTTACATGTCTACAAGATACCTTCTAATTATTAGAGGCTGCTTGTGTGTTTTTTTTTTGTTGTTGTTGTTGTTTTGTTTTGTTTTTTTGTGCTGTGACCTGGGCCTCTGGAGTTAGGTCCTTAGTAGAGTAAATCTGACCCACTTTTGTCCACGTGAACTGACAGAGGCCATGGCTACAGACACAAGCCGGGCAAAGTCCAGGTGGGGATGGGAGTGATGAAGTCCCCTCCCCCCAGCTAAGGAGTTACCGGCAACTGATGGCTTCTCGGCAAGAAGGAGACAGTTTGCTTCAGAGTTTTGCCCCAAGAGCTACCCAGCTGCAGGAGATGGCCCTTGCCCATGCTCATAGTGGCACTACCAAATGGTCTCAGTCAAAAACAGAGCAGATGGAGTTGGGAAGAAAACGGAAGGACTGAAGGGAAGGAATGGGAGTGGGGTGGACTTAGGGATTTTCTTTTTGAAAACACAAGTTGAATGAGGACAGGCACTGCAGAGATGGCTCAGCAGTTAAGAACACTCGCTGCCCTTGTGGAGGACTCAGGTTTGGCTTCTGGAATCCACACGGCAGCTCCCAACGTCCTGCAACTCCAGTTCCGGGGAACCCAATGCCCTCTTCTGGCCTCCTGGGCTGCTACATGTGTGCTGTTCATATGAACCCATGCAAACACACCCTGGCACACACACACACACACACATACACACACACACACACACACACACACACACACACACACACTGAAACATGCACACACACAAAATAAACAACTTTAAAAATGAGGACAGTGAAATTTTCTTCAAGCCAAATGTACTGGAAAGTACCTTCCCATTCAGAAATTAGAGAGGAAGCTCTCAGCATGACATCCACAGCCACTAAGGTGTGGATTACAATGTCAAGTCCATGTCTTGCCCCTAGACATTCCATTTCAGAAGGTGAAGTGTGATACATCATAGCCTGGCCTTTAAGACATCAGTCTCTCTAAGGGGACAGACCCTACCCCAACCCCAATCCCTGGGACAAGAGAGTTAAGACTTGTGATAAGACCTAACAGCAGCCCCAACTAATAGTCTTAACCGGTACCCGACTCCTCCATTCTCTTTGTCGTGTATATTACGCTGAACTAAATCATGGAACATGAAAGATTCCATCACCCCCTGTTAGGGATATAAGACTGGTTATTTCTTTTGCTTAGGGATTTCTCTGAGGGCTTTCTTTTCTGGGTCTTCCTCACTTTCATTCTATCGTAATGGCTACCTCACATTCTTTTCTTTAAAACAGTTATTTATTTTTATTCTATGTCTACGCGGGTTTTGCCTGCATGTATATATGTGCACCGTATGTACTCATGGCACCCAGGGAGGCAAGAAGAGGCCACTGGATCACCTGGAACTGGAGATACGGGTGGTTATAAGCTTCCATGTTGGTGCTGGGAACAGAATCTGTGTTCTCTGCAAGAACAGCAATGTTCTTAACCACTGAGCCATCCCTCCAGCCCTTCCCTTCTTTCTTTAAGCTGACTCTCTTAGCAAAGCTCTTATGTGGGCTGTAACCTCTGAGGCCTTGTCATGTTGCATGTATGATTGTTCGGTTCTTTTCCTTCCTTCCTTCCTTCCTCTCTTTCTTTCTTGGTGTACGGGTGTTTTGCCTCTATGTCTGTCCACCATATGTATGCAACGGGGTGCTGGGAATTGGACCTGGGTCCTATGAAAGCGAACCTAATGCTCTTACCTGTTGGGCCATCACTCTAGCCCTGTGGTTGTTTTCTTCAAATGTTCCCTCCCCTCAAGGCCCAATCATGGTTTTGAGAACCTTCCTCCTAATAAAGCTAATTCCTGAAAAGTAATTATTCATCAGCGCCTTTCCTAAACTAACCATTTCTGTTCCATTCTTTTATGATGGGGTGGTGTCTTATGAATCTGGATTTGCAACAAGCACTATGCCTGGAGCTAGGAAATTAAGCTTGGAGTTTGCAATGTGCCTCTGAGCACTTGCTTTCCTGAATCTGTTCCCATTTACTCAAGCGGAGCTAGGAGGAGCTTATACCAGAGGGTCCAGAGGGACAGATGCGGTGAAGAGTGTGACATCCAGAAATTCATACCATAAATCCTCCATATGCTTTGAATGGCTGCTAGGCAGAAAATAGTTTTTTAAAGACTCCAAACAGCAAACTGAGGTGCAGCAGGATCTAAGGAGGGAGGGAGGAATTAGCAAGCTGGGCTTCTCCAGAGGCGGCTTCTACTGACCAGAACCATCTGGAATGCACCAGCTATGTGGAAAGACAGCAAACAAAAGCACATGTTGCTCACTCCAAAGGTAACCCAGGCTCTCAGTGTGTCCCCACTTTCCATGCCCGCAAGCTTCAAGCAGCATGGCAATGCCGACCTCCATGTCAGTACTATAGCGCAGCCGTTGCAATGGTGGCTCCATTTGCTAGGAGTTCTGCTTATAAAAAAGTCACCTGAATTTTCTTTGTCCAGCCATACCAAGTCCCACCAGATTCCCAGATGCTCTGCGGTAGTTTGAATGAGAATGGCCCCTGCGGGCTCATATGTTTGAATGCTTGGTCCCTATTTAGTGGAACCATTTGGGAAAGATTAGGAGGTGTGGTTTATTGGAGGAGGTGTGGCCTTACTGGAGCGGGTGTGGTTTTAAAAGTCTTATTACATCAGGCCTAGTCTCTCTCTCTCTCTCTTTCTCCTCTGCTTGTAGATGAGCATATAAAGCTCTCAGCTACGGCTCTAGTGCCATGACTATCTTCTTCCCACCCTGATGATGATGATGGCCCAACCCTCTAAAACTGTTAAGCTTTCTTTAGAAGACTTGCCTTGTTCATGGTGTGTCTTCACAGCAATGGAACAATGACTGAAATATCCTCCTTCCAGCTACTTCTTACGTAGCCCTGCACGCAAAGCTGAATCCCACTGGCAGTCAGTGCTTTCTCTAGGCTCCCATGCTGCCCCCTCAGCTAGCTTGGTGATGCTCAGGATACTCTTTTCCCACCCGGCACTTGTTTTCTTCTCCCCAGCAGGGAGATTTTAAGAACAGATGGCATCTGTTATCCAGGGATCGGCCCTAGGTTGGTGCTTAGTAGATCTTAGCTGAGCAAGAAAAGGAGTAAGAGGCACTGGTGATCCAGTCTAAGAGGGGGACAATTGCTTATTCCTTGCCTGTGTCCCATTAGCATACTGAGCAACCCAGGCAGATGGAGCCAGAGAAGTGGCTCGGTGGTGAAGAGCACCTGTTGCTCCTACAGAGGACCCAGGGTCAGTTTCTAGGACCCACACGGTGGCTCACAACCACCTGTCACTCTCAAGGGATCTAGGACCCTCTTCTGACCTCTGTGGGCACCAGGCAATTAAACTATGTACACAAATACATGCAAGTAAAACAACTCACACACAAAATAAAATAAGTGATAAATCTAAAAAAAATAAGAAGAGCCAGAGGGCATCTTCTCAGCCCCTACCAAAGTTGGTGCAGGGCACTGACGCATGGGGCAGCCACGTGTGGAAGGAGTGCTCTAGAAAAGAATTTTCATCCCCCTCACAATCCTTCTCGTCCCCGACGCTTCCTGCCTGTGGATGGGGTGATGTGAGTCCGAAGCTGTCCAGAGAATCTCAAAAATGTTGCCCAGTGCCCTGAGGTCTCTGAATAAATTCTTATCTACCTCCAGGGTTCTTCTATGGATAACAAATGCCCTTACACTAACCACTCCTAGTCAGTAGATCAGGAAGAGAGGAAGGAAGGGAGAGAGAGAGGAGAAGAGAGGAGAGGAGAAGAGAGGAGAAGGGAGGAGAGGAGAGGAGAAAGATGTCCTCTTAGGGTAATAAATCAACTTCGAGTGAGACAATAGAGGTTTAACAATTTTGATCTTCTTGTTTTGCAACCAACATACTTCTGGTTCCTATAGAACATTCTTCTTGTTTTAACTGTGTGTGTGTGTGTGTGTGTGTGTGTGTGTGTGTGTGTGTGTGTGCACGCGCACGCGCAAGCACGTGTGTTGTGTTCTGTTGGTACCTGTGAAAGCCAGAGGCATCAGATCTCCTGGAGCTGGAGTTATGGGCAGTTCTGAATCATCTGATGTAAGTGCTGGGAATTGAACTCAGGTCCTTATGGAAGAGTAACACAAATAACACATGCTCTTAAACACAGAGCCGTCTCACCAGCCCCAATAGATCATTCTTTGTGCTGCATTTCATGGCCCTGGCTCCCCTGACTACAGACTAGATGCCTTGACAATGACCAGCCACCCAGCCAGGCTCTGCTGCTCCTCCCTGTTTTCTCTCTAGATCTCAGAATGAAAGGGGGTTTATCTCTGCTCTTCTACATATCAAACACCAGAGTCTTGAGGACTTCCTTCTGGTTTGTAATTAGAAATCTGCCCCTTAGGTGGTAAAGGGCCTATTCCTTCAGCCTCCGAGCACAGGAAACCGTAGAGTGTTTCCTCAAAAGGAAAATGGCTGATTAGATAAGAATAATTTAGAATAAATTAGAATTTGAATAATCTGTCATCCCTTCTGGACATAGTGTGAGATGTGGAGCACCTTCAGCCACAGCCA